TTTTTTTCATTGGCGCATCCAAAGACAAAATATGATATTCTCATAATTTAGAGTAATATGAGCGGTGTGACAATAATCACGCCATGCAGATGGAGTCCTACTGCAAAGAGACAGGAATGCCCTTGCTTTTAATGTGGGTTTTGTCTCTTAAATGTCCCAGAATAACACATGCTAGTCAGGGCCTACTGACCTAAGGACCAAGTATTTTTTCCCTTTTCATTTGAGTTGGATCAAGCATAATTTGTGGGTAAATCTCTGCTGATAAATGAAAGGTAAAATTAAAAACATAGTGCTAGTTATGAGAAAAGTAATGTGCAAGAGCATAATGGAGACCCGGTTTGGGCTCTTAGAAATACAATCACCTCCCATGTGATCGCCCATCTTCCCCCACGCCTCATTCTTAGCGCGTCATGGAATCCAAACGGCGATTGGTTGGTTTATTGCGGGTCAGAATGTGGGCCGTTGCCTCATGGGCCTTGTGAATAGGCCCACACGTAAGCCTCAAATTAAGCCTGATATTTTTGTCCATTTTGTCCATTTAACACATTTTTACCTTGCATATATTCCTTAATTTATAGGGATATAGCAAGAAGAGATATAAATTAATATGACTTTTAAATAGTTGGGTTTAGCACAATCACAAGCATAGTATTAAAAACTAATTGATTTTTATGAGAACTTTAATATTTTTAACCGGTAGGTGTAAAATTAAAAAAGAAGTTATTTATATTAAGGACATGAAAAAGTATATTACTCCTTTCAATACTGAATGTATGAAGTTAGACAACTGATAGGGTTGTTCTGGATTTAGATGCAAGATGTTAATTAACTTTCTCTCTTAAAATTATAACTTTATATATTATTTCTAATAATTACACATATTAAATAAGAATTTTTTCAATGAAATAATTTCAATGCAGATTTTTAAAACAAAAGAAAAAAATAACACACGTGTATAGTGAATATAAATAATATAATTTAACCAAATCTTGTAGTCCCTATCCATTAGTCACAGATATCGCGGGATAGAGCATCGTCGAGGTGGGGATCGAGGGCATTAAATTTGAGGGCATGTTGGAGGGAGAGAGGTTGGAGTTTGGAATTTGGAAGCACGAGAGGGAATACATTTACAGAGTTTGAATGTTTTTCCCATTACAATCTCAATCTCATGCTCATCCCTTTTGTTTTTTGTTTTTACCACTTCTGCTTTCCCACCGCCGTCCCGACCTTTACTTATTACCATATCTTATCAATACTTAAAACTCCATCATAACAATCACTCCACGTAAATCAAATAAATATATATTCTTTGGTCTTATGTATAGGACAAAGAAAGAATATATTTTTTGATCCTATTTATAGGATACTGAGAGAAATTTTTCGTATGGATGTATAATTTACCTCTCATTTATTATTGTGTTGACTTTGTTTATATGAGATATAATGCATATTAAATAGGGATAAAATTAAAAAATTATTAAATTATTAAATAAAAATTAATTTAAATTTTAGATTTTTTTAATCTGCTAACAAAAAAAAGATTTTTTTATTCTATATAAAACATACTAGAAGTCTTTTATAAATAGAATCAAGAGAAAGAGAATATATTTAAATTAATGTGACAAAAATTCTCTACACTATTCTAGGATGCCTTTTAGATTAGATGCAGTCATGAAAGTGAGCAGGTGGCTAGCAGCACCTTGGCTTCACGCCCCCAAGACATGTGGCACCCAACATGCCCCTTCCTCATATTTATGCCACTTTGACTGCTTTCCAAATCCCCACCGAAATGACATTACTGCCCCTCCACGTCCTAGCCGTTACATCTATCTTCCCGAATGCCACATGAAACGCCACAAAAGGCCACATCCGTAATTAGCTTCCTTCCTTCCTCTCTCCTGTCTCTTGACTGAACCCTGTCGTTGGAGTTATCTATTCCACTGTGACTCCCCCCATAACATCTAACCCAAATCCTCACTCCCTTCTTGGACTGAGCTTGAATTCTATCCATGGCTTCTTCTTCCTCTGATCCTCCTGCCAAGCCCGAGCTTGGCTGTGCCATGCCAGAGACTTCGGAAGCAGCCATCAACAACGATCAGGTGTTTTCATACAGGGATTTCAAGAAGCCGAAGAAAGAGAGAGGATGTACGGCCAAAGAGAGAATCAGCAAAATGCCCCCTTGTACTGCCGGCAAACGCAGCTCCATATATCGTGGTGTAACCAGGTCCGTTTATCCTTTGCTTTCTCTCACTCATAGGCTGCCAAACTGGTCCTACCCTTTCACCTTTCTTGCTAATCGCCTAACGTTTCTTGATTTGTAATCATGTCTAATTCTTCAGAGATTACTTCCCTTTTCATTTTCTTTCATTAAATGGGAAAGTGAGCATAAAACAGAACGGTAACTGACAAATACTGTCATGTGTGCCACGTCACAAAGCTTAAGGTTATACGTCAAAATTTCTTTTCATCGTATGCTGTCATTCATCTGCTATATCCGGTCTTGGTGTCTGTTCTGTGTCATCAGATGGGACTGAGTTTCTCTGGTTTCTAACTATTTTGAATCTCTGTATCGGCTCTGCTTTTGAGATGTGGAAGCTTTTCTGAAATATGACTGACTGTTCTTGTGTCGTGAATTATCAGGCATAGATGGACAGGTCGTTATGAAGCACATCTTTGGGATAAGAGCACGTGGTGGAACCAAAATCGAACAGAACAAGAAGGAAAGCAAGGTCTCCCCCCCCCCCCCTTCTGCTTCCTTTTTCCGTCTCTTTCTAATTACTTGCACACGTACGAAGTTATTGGTAAACACACTTGAATATCACGCTCTTATGATCCTATAGTCACTTACATTTTTTTGGGTCAAAATCCTATAGTCACTTACATAATCTCGTTATTTTGCTGTGCACTGGGCATGGATATGTTGGACAATAATTCATTGGTGATGCCAGTTTACTTGGGTATGTGTGGCTTCGTCCTCTTATTCCTTCTTGAAGTTGCTGCACCATTCATTATGATAATGCCCTTGACGGCGTTTATGCAGGCGCGTATGATGATGAAGAGGCTGCGGCTAGAGCTTATGACCTTGCTGCTCTAAAATATTGGGGTCCAGGGACTCTTATTAATTTTCCAGTAAGATAAGTGCTTGGATGGTTATGTTCACAGCAGGACTCATGGGGGAGGGGAAAGAAATGCTGTGTCTATTTTTCTTTTTCTTTTTCTTTTTAGGCCAAAAGGGTCATATGTCTATTCATTTCTTACTTTATTTTCTGATATCAAAAGATGCGTTGCATGACCAGAATTTGAAATTGAAAACTGCCACTTTGCTCAAGGGACTATTAAGTGTAGTGTCTACAATCTTTACCCCAATTAAAAAAAAAAAAAAAAAGCATTTACAATGCATTCTTTCCCTGAGACATTACTTGCACAATACTATACTCTATTGTTGCTCTGAATTGACTTGTGGTATGAATCTAACAAATTCAGTGCTCTATTTTTCAAGAAAAGTGCAAACATGCTATTCTCTTCTGATAGACACAATCAGATACTCGTTTTATTTGTGGCCTGTTGACATGCGCAGTGTCTAATTTTTCTAAGATGTACGTTTTGATAATAACCACCTATGAATTAAATACCTTAAATCTGGTGGCCTTCGGCAGAAGGAGGGGAAGACAAGATGTTCTACTTCTGGTATATACAATAATTTCTGCATCAAGTTTTGATCTTCGTACTGCAGGTGTCTGATTATACAAGAGATCTTGAGAAATGCAGAATTTTTTCGAGAGAAGAATACCTAGCGTCTTTACGACGGTATATACACACACACACTTCACCAAATATATCCTATCAGGAATTCAACTGCGTTGCTAACATGTGATGCTTTCTGCAGGAAGAGCAGTGGCTTTTCTAGAGGAATCTCAAAATATCGTGGACTCTCCAGGTGTGGATCCATCTTGAAGGATGCCAAATGCATGAAAACCACATAGCCAAACATATCCTTTGTAAACTGGTGTTTATTCTCCGCTAGAGAGTAGATTATAATGGTTTTCAAAAGAAATGTTGCTTTATATGCTTTCTATCACCCACTTTGAATTTTAATGCTCGTCACTGCACATTTATGGTGCCCGACACGGATTTGATTGTTAATTTTAATTCTGCATTTCATATTGCATGTGATGGTACAAAAAAATTAGTCGATGGGAGCCATCATATGGTCGCATGGCTGGATCTGACTACTTCAATAGCATACATTATGGTAAGTCCTAATCATATTTAGTGCTCAAGCAATCATCTGTCAAACCTAATTTGTATAAACCGCGTCTTTGATGGTAAAATTAAACTAGATTCTTTGGCTTGCATGAATTCAACTGATTTCACCAGTTTTATCTGCTAGAGCACTACCATCTTATTGCTCTGTAATATTAAAGGTACAGGCGACGACTCAGCTGCAGAAAGTGAATATTTAAGTGGTTTCGGTGTGGACAGAAAAACTGATTTAACGAGTTACATTAAATGGTGGGGATCTAATAAGAGTCGCCAAGCTGATACTGGAACAAAATTATCAGAAGAAAAAAACCGTAGTTTTGCTGGAGGAGACCATGGCAGTGAGCTCAGAACATTGGAACAGCAAACACGACCTACTGAACCATATCAGATGCCACGGTTAGGCACGTCCCATGATGAAAAAAGGCATAAAAATCCTTCAGTTTCTGCTTTAAGTATCTTGTCTCGATCAGCTGCCTACAAGAGCTTGCTAGAGAACGCATCAAAGAGAGAGGGAAATAGCACTGACCCTAATGAAAATGAAAACAAAAATGGCATTGATAAGTTGGACCGTGGCAAGGCTGTGGAGAAATCATCAAATCATGATGGCGGCAATGAAGGACCTGAATCTGTAATGGGGATGAGTGGGGCTTTGTCTCTTCAAAAGAATGTTTACAACCCACTGGCTCCATTCTTGTCTGCACCCCTTTTGACTGCTTGTAGTACTATCGATCCCTTAGTAGATCCTCTTCTCTGGACGTCTCTTGCTCCTATGCTTCCTGCTGGCCTTCCCCGTAATGCTGAGGTTGGTAGATTTTTATTGTACTTTACTTGAATGAATTTGTTTTCTTCAGAACATTATTTCATTCAACGCCGTAATATATGTTTTAAAGATCATCTCTTTACATGTTTACAAGCCTTATTTTCTTGTGCTGTTAGTACTAGCTACAATGTTATTTGTCGTTTGATGCTGATTAATGATTATATTTCTGGAATTCATCTTAAATGGTTCTGTTTCTGCATTTTGACGGGTATATGAGGAATAATTCTAGATAGGTAAATTCTGAAATAGCATAGCCACCAAATGTCAGTAATTCTAGACTCATTACTGATTTTCATTCAATTACCTGTTCGGAATGGAAACTATCTGACGAATGACAGTAATGAAATGGCTAAGACAACAAATGTTTAGAAGTCGGTAACACAAAACAGTTGTGATATATTTCCATTCGTCAATTTCTCCCCAGGTCATTTAAGAGTCACTCATTACATTCTGTGTGGATTCATACCACCAAAAACATGTGGACTCATTTGCAGGTTACAAAGACTGAGGCCAGTTCATCTTATAGCGTCTTCCAGCCGGAGGACTGAATGGAAGTTCCCTTTGAAAGGATTTGTGATGTGAAGAATAGCGAGTTCCTGAAGAACTGAGTAACATAATTGGGAGGGCTCCGTCTGTTCAGATCTTCATACAGAACGAGAGATCCAAGTGTCTGACTAGCTCAATGGTCTGAGAAAATGCCCCCATGGCTTGAAGCCCTGAACTATGCATGCTTATTGTGATACACAAACTAGGAACTTTGACATAAAAGATTACTGTGCTCAGTGCTCTATACATAGATGACATATATAGGGTTATAACAAATCATTTCTTGCGATATGTTGCTGTCAAGTTTTTGCAGGCGGTATCGAAGAGGGTGATTTCATGTACAGAACGTACGAGGGAGGAAGAAGTATATTAGACAATTTTATTTTATGTTTGATTTGTTTGTTTGAGTTAGACAGTGCTATGTCATATTTGATTCGTTCGCAACGTAAGATACATGCCAAGAGAGCAATGGTTTGAAGTTTAATCATCGGATACGTACCAGGAAGTTAATTTGAAGCCAACAAATTTTGGTTTGTGGGGAAAATTCTACGTTGTGGTTGAGGATAAAGTCTTCGCCTTTGAATTTATGAGTGATCAGCCAGACAAACACCATGCAGATTTCAAAATCACGAAATATTCTTGCAATTTGATTCCTCCCATTTCGTTAGCAATCAATACGAAGATAGTACAAACATAAAAATCCTCCTTCTATGCTTTCCTACTTTTCGCCCTCCATCAAATTAAACCTTTCATTTTGTTGACTTCTGCTCTCAATTTTGACCTCTCACTAATTCCTTTTCTTTTTTTCACTTGCACCCTAAGGTAGCGTTTTGTAGGAAGCATTAAAAATAAGGTATTGAGATTAGAATTGCAATTGAAAAAATTTATTAAAAGAGTGTTTAATATAAGAAATTGTTTGTTATATAGGATTAGCCAGATTAGAGAATATCATGGGGGAAGTGGTATTCCTCAATCCTACCTCTATAGGTTTACCTAATCTCATATAATAAGCAATTATTCATGTTAAATACTACTCCTCCGGTCCTAAATATAAGGGTTTTATATTTAAGACCGAAGGGATATTTTAATGATTTCTTTTCAATTGCAATCCCAATCTTAATATCTCATTTTCAATACTTCGTATCAAACGAGACCTAAATAGTTCCTACAAAACTACACCACATCTTATTTTTATTATGACCTGAATCGATATCAATTGACTTGTCGCTGGCTTCATTGGTTCAAAGTGAAACACATAATTATGTCTATCACATGCATACTGGGATTTGCAGAGTTGGACGGCCGGTGGTTCTATAAGAAATCAATAAAAAAAACAAAAACAAAAGATTGAAAACGTGCGCATTGCTTGCTTTGTTGGAAGAAGAAAAGGTTGTTGGATTTGGCTGCTACTAGAAAGGAATTAGAAGAAGGATTTAAAAAAGTGGAAATTAAAAGCGAACGTTTTCCATGAGAGGAAGAAGAGTCCAGGTTCAGGGGGCCGCCAACGATTCTGAAAAAGTAGGGAATCCTACAAGGCTTAAATTTGATCACATCAAAATTCAAAATTTGCAGGCCATAATAGCAATTGGCTAGACAAATCGAACACACTTCAGATTTTTTTTCCCCCTCATTACTTACTTAGTATTTATAATATCTTTTTTATAGAGAGTTTAAATGTCAACCTCATATTTAAGAGAGATTAATATCATTAGACTGCGAAGCTTCAGAATTCTTGTCTTATTCCTGAATTCTAAAATTAATATCAATTTCGAATCGGCGAATCCATCGTCATCACATTTGCAGGTATTCCTGCCCTTCCCAGACTTTAACAACCGACCGTATTAGAATCGAAGGAATCTTGCTTTTTTTGGGGCGACATGGATACATCCCTGTTTATAACCTTTTTCAGTCAGATTTTGAAAACAAAATTTTTTTTTTTTACTTTTAGAATTGTGTGTTAATGAATAGCAAATGGTGTTGGTTTTATTTTTAGGCTTTAAAATATTTTTAATGAAAAAATTGAATTAATATTTTTTTTGGGCAAAACTTATGATTCGGTCGGGTCATATAATTACTAAGAAATTATTTTGTTGCATTAAAAAAAAAGTCATAATCTCCTTGAAAATTGACCCATATGACATAAATAGAAGTTCACATGATTTTAACTGACATTTAATTTGGACTAACCGCTTCCCCTAAGACGGGATAAAAATGGAGCAGTTAAAATCTTTTTATAATCTTGCCCTGTCAGCATGTTTTCAATTCTCATTGTAGTCATTGGTGTTAATGAATCACAAAGTAGAAAGTCACACATCTTTTTAAAAATAAATAAATAAATAAAATATCACCTATCTCTTGAGAATAATCAAAATCAGTCAATTATATTTCACTGGGATTAATTAAACAGAATCACGACTCTATTACATTTGTAATTCTGATGAAAGACCGTATAATAACGTAACAATGCGATTTGTTTGATATAACACAGCACATAAACTAGATACAATTGAACTGTCTTCACTGTTGAATTTCATTCCTGACTTTTTGGTTTTTTGCCAGCAATTTCATTCCTGACTTAGACGATATTATATTATTATATTTAACACTGTACGTATGGTATATTATGATCTATGACGGATTCATTTGCATGACTGGGGCAGTAAAATACTGGGATTATTATTTGTCTCTGTCTTCAAGTCTCTCTGTCCTTGGTTCACATCGAGCCTTACCCCAAATAACATAGGCCTCTCGTCTTCCTGCTCGGTTTTCTTGGCATGCTTAGCCACGAGCTCAAGCAGGTCCTTGCACTTCCTCTTCATGGCCGTGAGCTCAGAGTTCAATGCCCCATTCTCTCTCTTGAGTCTCTTGTTTTCGTCCACGAGAGTTGAATAACCAGAAGACGAAGAGGTTGAAGAAGACCTTTGGTCTTCCTCTGAATATTCCTGATGATTTCCTTGTGTTCCTGCTGGTTGTTGTTGTTTGCCTGCTTGACCACGCCTTTCTTCGTCTAATCTCGCTTAGTTTTTCTCTCTCCCCCTTCCTAAATTTGTTGTTGCAAAATTCCCATCTGTTCGTCGCCGCTTTACGAAATCCCTGCGATCATATTAACAAGTTTAATCCTTTTCATGTTGCTCAGCAATATATTGATGATAATCCCAGTACTTTACTCAATCAAAGACGACAGGGGTTTGAAATGGCCAAAACTTGTGGATTACACGCTTGCAGTGTCTTCTTAAATACATAATCCTACCTTTCTTCACCGGATAATTATAAATTAAACTTTTCATTTGGCTTCTCCACAGTAATACAAAAACTAAAGCCGATCGATAAGAAAACTGAAAGCGGCAAGAAGGCAATTACGTGGGGAAAATAAAGACACTGGATTATATATATATGCGTACGTACATAGGTATTGAGCTGGCGAACAAAGCTAGAGAAGTTGCTGTGCTTGAAGAGAGTAGGAAGAAGGTCGCGGGCAAACTCCGCCGGCTGCCACACCACAAACGCCGTGCCGTCAGCGTTCCACGATATGACGTCGTCGGTGGCGGGATCCTCCACCAGCATGTATGTCTTTAACAAGAAGGGTGGTGGGTTCGACTTCCTTGCATGTAACTGATCCAACGACTCTTTGTTCTTCACTTCCTCCATCATCATCACTTCCTTTCTTTCCATACCTGCCTGTGTCTATCAGGAGGAGGAGGAAGAAGAAGAAGAAGAAGGAGTTGACGAGGATGGTTGATTGAGAGAGAAAAGAAGAAGAGCAGTTAAGAATTTCCAACCCCAGCAATAGAAACCCAACACGACTCCACAGTTCATGAGAATTGCAACCCCCTTAATTTCCCTTCTATTTCTTCCCCTCTTCTTTCCTCCTTCCTCAATAAATATTTGAAACGTATGTTCTAAGCCTTCCCCCTCATTATAGTCAACTATTTCACAGCTCCCACTATGTATATTTTTCTTTCCCATTCAAAAATTTATATCATGCCGCGTAAAAGAGATGATGATTTTCCCAGTCAAATCAACAAGTTTATTTTATCTATCTTTTTTCTTCGTCCCGATTCGTGTTCACAATACATGAACCTGCTTATTAGTTAAATGCAAGACAAAGCAACACGAGCGTGTGAAGTGGCGATTAGTCAACAGTAATATCTTTTAAGAAAGTCAAAAGAAATTAAAGTCGACAGGGTCGCAAAGCAAATATTGACTAATGCGAATTTGTCGCACAGAAATCAAACCTACGAACAGAGCAGGAGAGATGAAAAGAACACGGCGTTATCCAGATTATGGTGAACTTGGAATAACAATTAAGAAAAGACAGGAACATGGACTTGGCATGGGGGAGTGTTTGGCGGAATTGAGAGACAAAATTTTCTATGAAAATAATGTTTGTTTAAGATGTGTAGGTGTGCTGATATTTTCATTAAGCAATAATAATAATAATAATCTTACGTGTAGATTCCTTCTCTTCCAGAGCTTTTCTCCTACGTCGTGCCACAGTTTTGATTTATTCCTTTAATGCATGATGGCGATATAATCATATAATGCCTTTGTGGCCTTTTCTCTAATTAAAGGAATTACTTCTTTATTTGACTTTTTGCATTCTTCCAGCTGTCCTTTTTCTTCCATTCGGCTTTCAACACTGATACACTCCAAACCCAGTTAGCCCCCCTTCTCACCTTAAAACGAATTAATATTACATTTTCTCAAGTCCTGATCATAAATATAAAGAGGTAGTTGAGAGGTTCATGTCAATCTTCTTCTTTTTTTAGTAAAATATTTATTTCAATCTTAAAAAATCTTAATTTTCCTTGTCAATCAAATTTATAACTTTTTTTCAAACTATTTTTATTGAATACACGTAGTAAGATTTATAATTACGATGTAGTTCTAATACAAGTAATAATTAATAGAGATATTTTAAGAAAATCAACCCATGTTTTTTTCTAAATAATTAATTTAATTAATTTTTATAATTTAATACAAATTATTTAATCTAATTTTAATAATTGCAGGTGAAAATGTTTCCCCTCTTTGTATATATCCCAAATATGAGATTTAGTTTATAATATAAATTATATTATAAAGTGAATTTTGTATTCAGTAAAAATGGTAGTATTATCCATCACATCAAAACAGAAAATGGTCGTATTATCCATGTTTCATGTTTCGGGAATAAACAAGTTTGCGGGGGATGATTCTATTTTGGTGGGACCGGTTAAATTAGGCATCAGTTCAGTAGGTCTGGGTTTGGCCAAAAAAAAAAAAGTAGGTTTGGGGCCATGTTGGATATCAGATTAGGCCATTTCTCACCTCAAGATGCATCCATCGACCTCCATGCACATTCGAGATAATCACCTTCAGAAGATTCCTGCATAGTACGTCTATATATCTACCATAATCATACTCTACATTTAGATATTTAATTATTTATTACAGAGCCGGTAAACCG